ATGCTCTGATATCTGGCTTGAACTGCAAGAACTACCCACTGAACTACAAGCGCAGTGGAGGCACGAGATTTGTGAGGAAATGCTTTGGTAGTGGAACAATAAGATATCAAGACGTGAAAGCGAAGGTGCAGGAGAGAATGGAACCTTCTACCGATAGGTTGAGGCTGCTGATCTTGTATTTCCTATCGAGTATTATAGTTGGGCAGAGAAAGACTGGTGATGATGCCCCTCCTGTGGAGCCATTCCTGCTGAGAGCAGTTGATGATCTCAACTTATGTAAAACATTTCCCTGGGGTAGATTGTCATTCGATTACATGCTGCAACAGATTTCAAACACTCTGAGGCACTTTGATGGGAATGTGAAAGAAGGTGTGATATGGCCAGTTCCCGGTTTCTGTATTCCAATGGAAGTAAGTGTATATGAGTTTAATGCTTTGAATTTTAATGGAAAATATGAAATTGACAGTTGAGAGTTTTGTGTATATGTGTAGCTCCTAGCATTTGAGGCGATCTCGACATTGGGCGACAAATTTCGAGAGTCAGTTGAAGACGAAGACGCGAACTTAGACCCAACATGCCCAAGAATGTGCCAATCTAAGTTCAAGAGGAGTGAAATGAAGGGATTTCCCCTGGCGAAAATAAACAAAGAGCTCGGTGATACTAAGGTTAGTTGTCCCATGTATACAAACATTGAAAAATTGTATTGTTATTTAATAAGCTGTTGACACTGCAGGCCATTGAAAGCATCTTGATTAGTACCGTCGACGAAGACACTCTACTTAGTCGGATAACAGAACCAGAGGACATAAGAGATAAGGATGATGTGATTGTTGAGAGCTGGATTAGGAGGTTGGAATGTGGTTATGATGTTAGGTTTGATGATATGTTTGACGAAGATGTGGCTGCCAGAGAAGGCCGTCTCCCTGAGAGTGGTGGAAAGGAGACAGAAGCCAACCCAGCTAAGCAAAATGAATTGGTTGCAGCCATCAACAGCTTGAAAGAAGATGTGGGGAGTCGGTTGAGAAGGATTGAAGATAAACTTGGAGAATTTGAGGGAATTGAGGGAAGACTCGCTGCATGTGAAGCTTGTGTTCAGGAGCTGGTAGATGGGAGGACTCAGGAGGAGGAAGAGGCCATCTCGAAGAGGCCAAGCAAGAAAGCAAGGAAAAACTGATGTAAACCCCTAAAACTTCGGGTGTTCTATAAGTTATGTCGTTTTTTGTTGTCCAAAAACTGTTTTTAGGTTCCTCTTCGGTTGTAGCAAAACTATGCAATTACTCTTTTGGTTTGTACTAAAACTCTCCTTTCAGTTTGTTGTTTTATCTTTGTATGATGAAAGTGGTACACTTTAGGTATGATTCAGACCAAACATAAAAAGATCTCGAAAAGAGGACTCCACTTCTCTCTTTGACCAGATACTTTTATAAATATTGACCAAACAACTTCGAGACAGCTTGTCTTATTTCTCTGTCTCTCTCCACGAAAACTCCCTCGCCTCTACTTTCTCTATTTCTCTCTTCGATCAGATCCAAACAGTTAAGATGGAAGTGGGTTCTTCGTCTAGGGGCCGCAATTCTGGTCGGAGACGGTGTCACTGTGGGTTACCGGCGGCGATCTCGCAGGCATGGACTGACAAAAATCCAGGAAGAAG